GTAGTCGTTAAACTGTAGATAGTCCCTCCATAACAACAGTTTTAAGTAACAGCCCAAAGGAATCGAGACAGATAGAACTTTAGTATGCAAAATAGGTTGGTATTAAAAATAAGCGAAATGGGATCCAAATTGATTTTTTTCTCTGAATTGAATGGCGGGGGCACGAAGTCTGCATAACTTCGGGTTATTCCTCCTAGTTTGTTGTATTCAATAAAATTAACCGTCTTATTGTAATGTGTATATTTTGTTGTTGTTGTTGTAACATTATACAAATTCCCTAAATAGTTTTTGGGGAATAATTCTGGAATGGCAGTCCTTGCCCCGATTGTATGGGTGTATCTCGGCAATCGCTTAACAAATATCTCCCAAAAATGTTAAATATTTGCGAAATCGGACAGTAACCACACCCGGCCCTTAGGGATGTTTTTGAAAAGCAAAAGCATATGTAGTGATGGTCAATTGATAAGATTTAATATCACAGTGCAACAATTTTCAAAAAGTTGTAGGTGGTGGGAATCGGACCAACGGCATTTGATTAAGATGTTTTATTTGAAAAAGTTGGTTGCCATTTGTTTTTTAACTCAATTTGCAACTTCGTGTTTTCAGGTGTAATTTCTTAAAAAAAAAAATAAAATAAAAACACATTTTATTATATGTATCGCACGTTTAATAATATACAGATGTAATTCAAAATTTACGTTTTTGGAGATTTCATCATACTAAGCTAGATAGGGAGAATATGTTCAGCCCAACAGATAACTAAACTTCCCAATAATGGCGAAGATATGCCATAATTCTGTATATTATTAAACGTGAGATATATTACTGGCCAAACCCGATCTTAGGAGAAACTAGTTTTTCCTGGGCAAAATTAGTGATATCTAGATCCGATACACATCCTTTTAATGCGAAATTAAGTGGCTTTGGCTTTTATTAATATTTTGAACTCTTTAATGAATGCAATCGGTCGCATTCCCATCACTTCTTGAGTCTTGCACTGTGTATTTAGATGAATCTTTTGGCAAAAAACTTTGATTCTAGTAAAATTTTTGAAAAGGGTTGCAGATCTCTCGGTGCGTAATACAAGAAATTTTGTGTGCTGGGTATAAGATATTCAATGTGGCCCGAATTTAGACTTGTTTTTATTCAATATATTACATATTAATATTTTTAACATACATACATATGCACATTTTTCTAATTAATTTTAGCATGCCAACGAAGATGTGGAGAAAATGATTCTGGGTAATAAATGCGATATGACAGATAAGCGTGTTGTTAGCAAAGAACGCGGTGAGGCGGTTAGTTGAAATTAATCTATCTTGTATTCACAACTACTTCATAGCTAAACAATAATACTGTTTACAGATCGCGCGGGAGCATGGTATAAGATTTATGGAAACATCTGCCAAATCCAACATCAATATCGAGCGCGCATTTTGTGAACTGGCTGAAGCTATACTAGATAAAACGTCTGGTCGCGAAGCAGCCGAGAATCCTGAACGCCTGGTAGTTGATCGTCGAAATAACGAAAAAGCGCCAGCCTACAAGAGTTGTTGTTCTTAAGGACACATACCATAACAGCCACCCCCAATCTACCATGCCACCAACAGCACCACCACCAACTACCACATTTAAAACCTTATTGGTACTAAATATCAGAGGCCAATAAGAGTTGCGAAATCATTAGAATAGTTTTGCCTAATAAAAAATAAGATACTATCGATTTTTTACTTAAAGAGAAAGTAATTACTTATCAACAGCTACTCAACTCGCTACTATATGTATGTGTGTATTGTGTTTTTTTTTTATAAGACGAAAAGGGATAAAATGTTTGTAAAAAGTAAGAAATGAAAAATGGTATTGCTTGTGCAATGATTTACATACATAGGTGATCATGATACATATGCTTACTCGCTTCTAAAAAGAAATTTAAAAGAAGAAAGTAATGAATTACAAAAAATTTTAAAGTATACTTATTAACTGGTTGTTAGGATGGTTAATGAGGTGAAATGTAGTTTAAGTAATTAAGTATCGGTTTCTTAATATCCATATACATAATCACGTAAATATTATCTCACATGCAAAACAATTAAAATTAAAAGTTTATAAAAAAAAAATCAATGAAATATCTGTTCCACATAAGTTCCACAGCGGTGCATGTCTCGCGAAATGTCCGCGACTGCGTTCTAATGTGAACAAGGAACGGTTAATAAACTGTAAAACCCCTCACATACGAACATTGGAGCTTGAATTTTGCGAAAAAAATGCGAATGCAATAGAAATAATGCCGTAAATTGAACTTTTACTGCCACAAACTAAACAACCTAAAGTATCAGTCATATCATGAGTATCCCCGTTTCAAAGTGATATTGTTTGCCAATTATGTTCATTTATTTATTTTTTAGAATTTTCAATCAAAATACACCAGCCCATTTAATTTTGCAGTTTTCTTACATATAAAAATAAATTGTGTTGATTCGTTATACGGCGACAAAAACATCTAAAAAATACAAAGGCAATTTTTATAGATAGATTGGCGCTTACACATATGTTATTTTTTGTTACAGTTTTACACCGACTCCTAACGGCGATTGTATTTTTATGAAAAGCTGTTTTTCATGGCAGGTTTGCCATTGCCTGCCGAAGGGCGACCGCTGTTAAGAAAAAGCCTGCGATATTGTTTTAACCAGGCTTGAACCCAGGCCTTGCGTAGTAGTAGTAACGCGCACTGCTAACCGCTACACCGCAGTGGCCGCAGAAACTGGCACATTATTACAGAAAGGACCAGTTTTTTAGTGCCAGTTTAAACTTAGTTTTAACCACGGCCGTGCACTGAAAAACTGGCCCTAAAAGTGAATACGCTATAAATTTGTCTGCTCAGAAAAGGTCACTTCTGAGAAAAGTTTGATATTTGGATGAAAATTTGTTGAATTTTTTTAGTTTTCGACAGGGTTTTAAATTTGGGTTTATATGGGTTTTTGTTAGAGAATGAATGACCTGCATTTTAATCGAAATTTCTTAAAAATATACAAATAATCATAATTGGCAAACAATGGGGTGCTATTGATACGACCTGTACTGTATGAATCTTATTGCTATCGTTACCCAATTCGTTGCACGAGTTTTGCGGAGCTAAATTTCGCATTTGACTAATTTAAAGTTGGCATTTGTGTTCAAATTTTTTGGCAACTCATTTTATGCCCACTTCACTTGGATATTGAGAAATCGTCCATTACAGGTTATAATGCAATTTCTTGGCAAATACCGAAAAAATGCTTACAGCCCAATGAGTTTATCCAGTGACAAAATTATATTCGGCAGCGAAAACATACATTTTAATCCCCTGCTTAAGAAACAGTTGATAGTACAAGCGAAAAAAAGATTTACATAAATGCAACTTTTTATTTGGTTAAAAAGTATTTCATTATTAATAAACTTAAGAGAAGAAATTAGTCTTAGCAATTCTTTTGTTTATTGTAGTTTCTTATCTTCTTTACCACTTCTTGTGGACAATGTATTACCTTCCTCCTTGAAGTGTAGAAATACAAAAGAGAATACAAATACGCCTATCATCATTGAAAAAGCACTGGTGTAGTAAGGAAACGCGCTGGGTATGAAGCGTTCATATTCAGTGTGTTCTAGTGGACGCACAGAGACCTGTGTTGTATTGTAAAGGTGCGTATAGCCAACGCGATCGTAGTTTACCTTGAATTGGTACACCCCGTATACATCGGGTATCTTAAATTTGGCTTCATAACGTCCGCCATTGATTTGTTTGAGTGTGGTACGTATAAATGGATCAATGCGAACGAATTCCAGTTGTACGTCATTGGCTTTGAATGGCTGCCATTTTTCTTGCACTAACTCTTCTATGTTGATTGTATATACAACAGGGTCGGTTATTGTGTATGCTTGCTCCGGCGGATATGACTCGCCCTCTTTGTGATGATTCACACTGGCCACACGCAAACGTCCACTTTCGCCAAATGCCCACTTACTTATTGCAGTAGCGACATCCCGATTACTTGCTTGCTTGTGAGATATACCATCTTGTGCATTTTGTATAGGTTCAGTAAAGGCTTCGTCGGAAAAGAAATGTAACGATCCAGAAAAGACAACACGAGCATTATTTCTTGCTTGCAAAGCAGCAATAAGTAATGTACCGCGTCCAACCGCATGCGGGTATTCTTTCACAGGTTGGTCAGGATTATAACTATACGCTGTACTCTCTGCAGTAAGCAATTGGAGCACTAAAGGATTTTCTTTGTCGGCTAAAAGTCCGGTGCCTCGGTAAATCAACGGAGCAGTTTTTAAGGGTCCAACAATAATAGCGGCGTCAATGAGATTACGTGCTGACGTTAAAATTGTAGTGTGATCTCCCATATCTGAAGAGTCATAGTTGAGGTGATCAATAACGGCTGCACCTTCTTCGTCCACTTCGAAACCGCATTCCGATGCGAACTCACGCAGTGCATCGCCAGATTGCTCACTGGCAGCCACCAACACATTGCCACCATCGTCAACGAATTCAGTGAGCTTTTCTACGCTAAGATCGCCACCGAACTCCTCAACACTTGGTGCAAATACAATAACATTTTTGTAGATATATTCACCATAACGTGAAAGAACTAAGCCAGAATCATCAGCCAGTTTATAAACTAGCTTAAAGCCTCGATCTGTTGAAGAAAATGCCCGTACTTTTGTTATGACCACGTCACTAAAGAGGAATTGATTCGGGCTTACCTTGCAATGATTTGAAGAATATAGAATGTGTCTCACGAATTGCCAAATTATCAAGTAAGACTAAGGTATTAGCATCAGAATCCAAAACCGCATTTGAAGCTTGAATAGCCAGAAAAATAAATACTAAATATCTCGACACACTCATCATCGTGGATTCTAACCGGAAAATTTTCGGAAGATGTCTAATTCAGGAATGTAAGAAAAACATCGATGCACACCATTCGATATACCGAATAAAACCGATGCTTGGTACTCAGGGCTGCCAACTCACCTTAGTCCCCTTTCAGACACGTCAAGTCTTGAAAGCAATTTTTATCGCATTCTCTTTTGTGTTTTCTCTTTGCTTCCACACGCGTCAAGTTTTATTGAATTCAAGTGGATGGTTGGAGGTGCCACGCCCACTCCCCTTCGCCCTTCGCCTTAGCATATGACATTAATACAGTTGTTTTATTTCACTGTTAGCAGTTATACTTAAACCTAACTATTACTACGTTTATACGCACGTATTATTTGCAAATAACAATTTGCAAAATGGTAAAATTTGGCGTATAAACGCTGAGTTAATTTTTTATTTGCAAATAACTAAATCACGCAAATAAGTATTGATTAGTGGTACTATTTGCAAATAAGCGCAAGGCGCCGTCATTCTTAGGTTTATTTTCTTTTTCGATGGTTGTTGTTGTTGTTGTAGCGGCTCGATGGTCATCTTATTGCCTTTTTATAATCAAGACGTTGCCATTTTTAACTTTATTTTCTTTTTCGATGGTCATATCATTGCCATTTTTTAATCAGGCAATATTAAAAAAGAATTTTTCACCATCGAATAAACAGTGAGTTAGGTATTTGCAAATTATTTTTATTTGCAAATAGCTTACGTATAAACGTAGTATATATAAAATTATATTGACTCTTCTCTGCAAAATTTTTCAGTGCCCGCGGCCACACTGCTTGTATCCATTCGCCTTGATTTGATTCCGAGGCGAATTTATATAAATTCGCCTTGATTTGTATAAATTCGCCTTGATTTGTTCCATATTTTGTCTGCGTATAGTCAACGTTGGTCAACATTTTGGAAAATGGAAAATATTCCGCGTACTCACGAAGGTAAGTTAATTGTTATTCAATATTCAATAAAACTCCTCCACACACGTGCATGAAATAGTTTCTTTGAATAGTTTTAAATTTACTAAGAGTTATAGCATTACCGCACCCCCTTATTGATTTGGCTTCTCATCATGCAACTAAATTATTTTTTTTTCATATTACAGATATTGAGGCACAAATTGCCGACATTCAAACTAAGAAAAAAGAAATCCAAAAAAGTACCACAACTGGTGTTGGATTATTGGACAGTGGAGGTTTCTATGACACTGATTTGTACGACG